AACCATAAATACCAAGCTAGTTGCAGGTGTGTTGTTTCCATGCTCATTAAAAATTACCACATGGCCAGCATTTTACTCTTTAAACCTTGAGCTACACTCATAGCCTAACTCATAGAAGAAAGAAGAAACTCACTTAGAAGAAAGTTAGTTACAATAGGCAGAAGTAGTCTCTAATATTTGCAAGCATTAGAATACAATCCATTAACCTGAAAAATAAGCCCTTCCACATATGTCAGGTTCTTCTGTTTTTATAATTAAATAGAAATCTTTGACAATACAGCAGCGTAGAAAATATTTTCACTGTGTTTTCCTCAACTATCCATGTTCATAAGTTATGACTTTTATCTGAAGGTCTCTTCTTTCATGTATTTGACATGTTTTGTCTGCTTTGTATTTCTACTTTTTTAATACTACTCATACAGAAGCCCCACATTTACTTTTAAGTTGTTTTAGAATTACGTGAACTTCACCCAGGGCTATATTACAGGAGTTCAGTAAATCATACTAGAAAATCTTATATTTGTGTAAAGACCTTTATTAAAACAAACAGGAAAAAAAAAAGCCACACCTTTTGGAAGACCTCAAGACTTTCAGCAGACAGTCCTTTCAGGTTTCATTCATTAGCTACTGGTTCTGACCTGAGTGTTCTCTAAAACTTTCAGATTGTAATCTCATTATTTAGCTCTGGAGCTATCATCTTTCAATTTTTACTAAATGGCTACATCCCGTACTGTCCTATTATCATAACATTATTTCCCAGAACATGAATCAGGCTGAAAAATCGTTGAAAAAGCAAAATATATTAGTTTGTGCTACAATTTCCTTCCATTTGCTTACGTGTACTGTTAGAAGTCACACTTCAAGGGATTTTGCTACAGACCAAAGAAAAACTCAGCATAACATGCATGAGGATACATACACCGCACTAATACCTCAAGTTTTCTAAACGATTCTTTTTGGATTATACTCAAATCTCGAATTTTAGTTTTGCAATATTATAGTACCTATCATATGACACGATTTAATTCCAAACTGCTATCGATATGAATGGGCTGGGTCGTCCTGCTTTGAAAATGTTTAATTTTGAAAAATATTCAATTGCAAACTATATTTTAAGAGAGCATCAAAACAATAGCATTTGATTTTCTAAATGACTTGAAAAGCTCAAAACAGCATTTTCAAAATTCTGATGTTGATTTACAGGTGAGCGCTAAGCTAACAGAAGTGTAAGTATGCAGTTGCACAAGCAGTAAATGCAATATTTTTGAATGAGATTGAATCCCATTATACACTTACAGCTAACTTTTTTGAAGTTTACACGTATGTCCTCAGCCACTGCACAGCACAGGTTTGGTAAACAACTCTAATTACAAAAACTTGAACTCAAGAGTTCTAGTGATTTTTGCTGGTGGGATTTTTGGTTTTTTTTCAGACACTGATGACAATGCCAACATCATGGTACTTTGGATAACTACTGCCTCTGGGTGTGATTCAAGGTAGAAACCAATTAAGTCACTTTTGGCTCCAGTCCTTTCCATCTGGGCTCCTCACTCTGCACTAAACCAAACGGGATCACTTAGGTCAGTCAAGCTGACACTCCCTGGATTCAAATGTTTAAACATTATTAATGGAGAATTCTTAACTCTGGAATTTACTTTCCCCCATTAAACAAACATCATGCTCAGATGATCTTCAATACAATGTATAAAGCTCTTGACAGAGGGAAATGGAGATTTCTTGGGGAGCCATTTCTTGAGGCTGGCAATGCTTTCTACTAACTGGACAGACTAGTCCGCCTACAACATCTAGGTAACCTTTGAGGTTCTCAAACCGGGGGAGCACAGGAAGCCCCAGCAAAGTTCTGGCCACGTGAAATCTGAAACACCTACCTCGTGCCAGCACAGGCAGAGGCTGAGCGCAGAACCAGGGCAAAGGCTGCTCTTGCTTGGGTTGGAAAACACGACGTAAATGCAGCAGCAGCTACTTCCTTCTCCCTTTCTCCAAGCAGAAGAGCAAGAGCTACTTCAGCTGAGTCACACAGACATGCTGCAGCCAGTTTACCAAAAGTCCCATTTCCTCTTCCTGGAGGAACCCAGACCCACTCATTAGGGCAAGACACCCTGGATTCAGCCACAAATGCATGGACTGCACAGATAGGTTGAGAAGGGGAGCAAAAACATTTCCCTCAGTGAGCTCCTTGTCCAGGAGAGGAGCAATAAAGGACATGTGGCCTCTAAGTGCACCAGCAAAGGAAGCATCCCCGTTAGGCTGAGAGGAGGGGCGGGAGAAACAGGAATGGAGGCTGTGGAGAAGGTCAGGTGGCTAAAGGCAGGCAACTCTGCCACAGCCAGGAAAGGAACCCTGTATAGAGGTTTTCAAAAAAGTAACAAGGAAGAAGGAGGAGCATGACAGGCTCGATGTCTCTTGCTCGGCATTGCAAAATAACACTTAGTTTTAAAACTGTGCAAGAGAGAAATCCTCTCAGTAAAGACAGTAAAGACAACTACCTTATGCAAAAAGAGGGATCCTTTTAGCATTTTTAGGTAAGCTAAGACCAATTAAGCAGTATACCCCAGACCAAAAGAGTCTCCTACTAAACAGATTCGAAATCACACTGAATCTTTTCCATAAACCTTCGTATTTTCTCTCTGCTTCTTTAAATTCTCTAATTTTTATTACTGCTGATGTAGGAGTAGTTCAAAAACCTAAATTCATGCCTAAACATAACCAAAAAAAAAAGAAAAATCCACACATTTGTTTCCATAAGAGTTTATTAAAAGTTTATTAAAACTACATTTTGTGAACATAGCTCTCTTTATGTGCTGCTGCATCACACAATATTACAACAGCAGATACATTATGCTAAACTCTAATGTCATCTGTCAAAGCAATAAAACCAAAATTTTGGACCTAAATAATGTTTGGCTCCCTTGAAAATCATTTAAGAACCTCCCATCCCCTCTCACGATTACTTCAGAGACCATAAACTACATTTTGTATACTCAAGAGCACTCCTACATGAGTATTTCGAGTTTGGATACACACGGCAGATTCCTTGCACGCCTTGAGTTTCCCATATCAATAGACAGAACCTAAAACGTCCCCCACTTCTCGATTTTGAGTCTTACTAAGTTTCTTACTAAGGCATCTGCTCTGAAACAAGTCAGAGACACAAACGGAAGCAAAAAAGAGCAGAAAAGCAGGTGTTTACTGCCCAAGAGGCTGAGTCATCCAGCATTCAAATGCCCTGGACTGGAAGCATGCAGTTTGAACAGATCAGAACAAATCAGCTCCTGCTAAACAAAGCTGCTCAGAAATGCAATATGCATAATGCTGCACTTCAGACTTGGGTTTATTTAATACTGAAACAACTGTCTAGATTGGGTTACTATGATATTCAGGTGAGAATGTAAATTATCTTCACCTTGAAATTTAATATAGCTTACTTAGAAGATAGAGAGTTATTAAAAATAAAAATTATCTCTCATTTTCATTTTCCTTACATTAGGAAAACGGTATTGGACTTATAATCATTTCATCATGAAAAACTGAGCATATAGATTATATTGGTGCATGCCTTCCTAAAAATAAATGAATAAATAAATAGCATACTCAGAGGTTTTTTTTCCAAAATTAAAATTTCACAAGTCAGGAATGAGAGGGAGAAGAAAAGTCAAGAGCATTCAGTTTGGTTGTCCTTTCTCTTTTCCTTTTACTCATGTTTTTCCCCCCATACCTTTCACCTCTGTATTGCAAAAACATGTGTCTCTCCTCACTTTAAGAATTCTTCAGGAAGGAAGGGATCGCCCTTCTCAGCAGCCTAAAGTTATATCTAGTTACAAGGAATGCTAAATTACGTCTCCAGAAGAATTTCTTCAACCTTTAGAGCTGCCACACACACGAACTTCCCAATATGATGCTATTCCATGACTTTGACATCCCTACAACTAGTCACACTATCGCTCCTTAAACTCCTCAACTTACCAAAGATGCTCCAGTTAGCTTCATGGCTGGACTCCATCTCTGGTGTTCAATTCAGCTGCAGCCACCTCTTCTGGTGCAGACAAATCTGAGGTGAAAACTGCCACCATAACTTCAGGTGTCACTGGGCATTTGTGCCCATACAAAGGACAGTGTGAGCTTGCTCACAGTGAAAGAACTGAACACCCCTTCTTTCAATAGCAGCTTATGAAACTATGCAGTGGGGAATCTTAGAAATAGTTCTTTTAATGATATAATAAATGCATGGGAAAAAAGAAAAAAAGACTCGGTTATGGAAATTTGGAAAAGTCATTTTTTTAAGCTTCCAAATATAACCTGCTCAAAAGAGGGCCAGCTAGATAAGAATGAAAGTTTCCATTCATTTGGAGATGCACTGTGAAAGTTGTCATGAAAAAGCATCAATCTACACATTTCAAAATATGGATTTAGCTTTGGGACTTTTTAGCTTGATGCTCAGAGATGAAAGATTTCAAATCCTATTGAGACCTTTTTTGAGATCCTATTTTTCTCCTTTTATCATCCTAATTCTATTAAATTGTCTATTAGAGGATGAAGTCACTAAGCTTAAATGAAATCGCAAAAATCTGATCAGGCATAAATTCACTATCCAATCCATAATATTTTAAGAAAAAAAACTGTTGTTGCATGGCAGCTAATGCAAAAGATTAAAAAGTATTATTCCAGTTTCACTAATGCAGTATGTTTAAATCACTTCTTTGAAACAGCATATCATCCCTGGCCACTAGCTGGTAATCCTGAAATATCCGAGCTATTCAACATGTAGAACAGCTAAGTACACAGAACTCTGATGGAAAAGTGCATGGTAAGAGACAAATTATCACATGAGCGCTGTTAGAAAGACAGCAATCACGGTAACAAAGACAGATCTACCCACTTTCTAGCAGCTTTATTCCAAAAATACTCTCCATGAAACACCGCTTTGAGAATAATTCTGCTACAGTAGAAAAGTGCTCGGAGAGCAAGGCTTTCTTGGTTTGTCTTTTTGAACAGGGTAAGGTTTTACCCCCCACACGACCTCAACACTTGCTAGAGAAGATTAATACACTGAGAAGGATTTTAAACTAAGCCCCACACCCAGGAATTTGCATCCATATGTTGAGAGCTGAGATATGTTGGTCATTAACATACCCAAAACGAGGCAGTATTCTAAAAGGTACCTATCCTGGCAAATGTGCACAGAATCTGTTACTCAGATGCACAAAAGGGCTGAGATAGCAACGCCAGGCTCCAGTGTTGCACGCCTGGAGGCCATTTGATAAACACTCTGTGGAAACACCCTTTCTGCAATAGTTTTGAGTGACAGAAAATACTGAATTGGAAGGGTGTAAGTCATCTGCTAGCTGACATTTTACTGGAAGCAAACTTTAAATTTCAACAAACCAAACAAGTGATTCCTGCTAGCCACAACCACTATCAAAGCATTCAAAGACAAAACTTACCACTAACAAAAGCATCATACTGGACCATGGTCAAGATATCTACTTCGGAAAAATATACATAAGGTTAATCAAAGTATCAAGGAGGACCCACATTCCTAACACATGGACTGAATGGTGTTCCTAATATGACATCTGTAGTACATTTTAAGGCAGAATTATTTCAACATTTATCCAAATCAAGTAAAATGTCTCATTTCCCCTCTTACAGTCTGTAACTTTTAAATAATGTGCCTGTTAAAATATTTTCAGTGAAGAGCTGTATAGAATTATGAATAATATTTACATAATTACGTGACTTTAGTTTTATGACTCTTTTTCCCTATAGCTCTGAAGACTGAAAAGTTAAAAATAACTTTTAGAACGGGTAGAGAAAATATATCTGGATAACACTAGGCACTAAAATTCTAATTCTCTCAAAAACAAAACAAAACAGAACAGGCAGTAAGACCTCCTCTGTTTCGCACCATTCGTGAGAAGCACAAAGAGCAAAAGCAGCGTGTGCCAGGCATGTGCTAGTCAAGGAAGACTAAGCTTAAGCATGAAGCACAATTCGCAAGGCAAACCTGTGAGTAAGAAATTGCTGCAAAAAAGCATAAGACATCTAATGTATTTAAAACTGAAATGGAAGAACAATAGCACATCTTCATCTATTTTACATGGATTTACATAGGTTGAAAATATTCACTTTGTTTAAGCAAAGGCAGACTAGATGCTAGTGTGGTAACAATAATATCTAAATCTGTAACGAACAAGCGAAGAAAGCCGTTCAAACCCTGATACCTACAGCAGTGCTCTCCACCCCGCTGAGACTGGTCTACATTATTGCAACTTTACCTAAAAGTGGAGATGCACAGGAAGAAAAGGTGACTAAAATTCCTATTGGGAGTATACTGTGAACAGCTCTTTCTACAGTTATTAAATATAAAAGTATTTGAAACAGCTCTGCGAGAATGAATATGCACTTAAGAGAGCTATCTGCCCAAGAAATCTATAATGAAAAATCACTGTCTTTTCTTATGATGTGATGATACCAAATGTCTACCCCAAAAATGGTTGCCTCAGGGTAAAGCAAGGAAGTTTTTTGAGTTAGATCTTCCAGAACAGAAACTAGTTGTGCAGATTAAAGAGATGTTATCTTGTGCCTAGGTTAAGGAAGAGAAGTCATGCGCTCTTCAGTTCTCCACATCAGTTGTGGGTACGTGTGCATATATCTTTTTATGATTTGATTTTATTGCTACCACTTTACAGAATTCATATTTTTGCTCATGGCAACTAGGGTTGTTTCTGAACTAGTTATACAAATGACTGCCACGTTGGGCAAGAAGCAAGTCAATGTTGTTTTGGCATCATGTGGTTGTAAACATTTAACAGACTGAAAGGCAGAAATGCATCAAGAAAATTGGATATTACCATTACAAGAAATATATATATTTCCTCCTCCCTGAAGGCAGCTTTAAGAGTGCTGAACACACCTTTAACAAGCTGATCAGATTCAACTGAAGAGGCATGTACCTGCACCTATATATTCTAACACCACACAGTTTTGTAGTTAGGCTGTTTGCTTCTCTTCAGTCCATACTGCCAAAAAAATAGCTTGAACTTCAGTATGCAAAACTCTCATCTACCAAGGAGTTGGTAAAAAACGCTCTCATGTTCCAAATCTTCATGATAGATTTCTTGCTTTTTTTCCCTCCCTCTCAGAATGAATTACCAGTTATCAAACTGTACAGTACAACCTATTTCTGGTTTTCAGTGTTAAAATGGTTCAGGCAGCTAGCAACTTTCTTCTTTGGTATTTATTCTTTCCACTCCATTCATGTGTGTAACAGTTGAACAAAGCTCAAAGAGCTTGTTGGGTTACACACTTAAGAGTGCCTATGATTTTTGCTAGACTTCAAAGGTTTTTAAACGAGTAGCACAAGAACTACATTGGATCAGAACAAGATCAACAGTGTGGTTTGAAGAGAAATACAAGGAATAAGACAATTATGTTTTTAATTATTTCCTTTATTTTTAGGAAAAAATATGAGAAAGTGTAAATCAGTTCCAAAAACTTGATAGATTTCTCTCTATTGCCAGGGCTTACTCTGAAGAGCTGCTGTAGGATCACAATGCTCAGACACTCCAGAACTAATTTCAGCTTAGCTGGAAAGCCTTCTAGGGCTGCGACTTCTACCTGTGCTAGGTAGGCAGCAGGATTCTTGAAATCTTAATCCAAACCCAGAATAAAGGCTAATTCTATCCTTAAGAGATAAAAGATATCAAGTGAGATGGGCATTTTTCTCCTTCTCCATCTGCCTACAACACTGACTAGCCCAGTACTATGTAGCTTCAGTGCACAAAAATACCCTCTAATGTTCACCATGTTTCACATAATAGTTAAGAAGGAACAAGGAGAACAAAAACAACTTCAGGAATATTTACAGGACGCCTCTTCTAAATGTGTATTGTGGCACAGGAGAAAGTAAAAGCGTGTTTGAAATGTTAATAAGTTTCTATAGAGGTTTGCGCCATGAAGAAACCAGGTAAGAGGCAGTAAGATTACTAGATCAAGGTACAACTTGTTCTTTGGTACTGTTAAATCTCTGGTGTTAGCACAAACTTTATATTTTTTTTTCAACTGTCCTGTTTGAAATAATTTAGATATTGCACGACTGTTTACAATAACAAGAGATCACCTGTCGGTGATGCTCTAAAGCAGGTCTGCAAAAATGACTCACAAAATTTCTTTTACTAGAGCAAAACAACAGGCCAAAGAACTCCTTTTACTGACCTCTCCAGAGCACATTATTGGCACTCTGCCAACCTCTGCAAGGTCCAAAAGTGCACCTAGCTCTTAAATAAAATGAGAGCTCTAGGCAGACATCACGTATCGAGTGCCTGAGCAGCTGAAAAAGCACCAATTGCTGTAGCTACCAGTTCTGCCGTTCCCAGCTCTGCGGGGTCTGCACAGGCCCCGGATTTAAAATATCTATCTGAGTGAGAATATTTAGGAGAGAAATAAAAAGGTGTGTAGGGGGGAGGCATTTGGTGCATTAAGGATAGGAGAATTCCTACATTTTTTTTGGAAGGGGGGGAGAAGGGGGGCAGTGTTGCTGCTGATCAATAGCAGCTGCGTGAAGCTGCTTTACAAATCTGCACACTGAAACTTCTCTACTAATTGTTGCACCGCAATCGCCATACACCATCTGATCAGCAGGGGCTCCCCTACCCAAAACACTGTTCGAGGAGACCGCGTAAAGAGAGGATTAAGAATCTCTATATTGCCATTGCTCTGCTTTAGCAGTTCAGAGGGAATAACTGTGTGACCCCACAGCACATGGAACAGTAACAGGCCTTACAGGGGTAGGGTGAGATTCGGTAAGATGCCGCATTTCTGTTTTGGAGTAGCAAGACCGTGTACAACAGGACTGAAGAAGCAGGAAGACGAGACTTTCTTAGCATAGGGAGCATGGCTTAATAATAATTTGAGGGCTTTGCAGTTTCATCTGCTTCTGCAAATTGTATGCCTTGCTCTGAATAAATCAGCTTCTCCTGCAATAAGAG